TGAACATGCATTCACACACAAACACATCCTCAGGTACATAGCAGGTTCAAGGCCAGACTAAGCAACATGAGATCCCTTTTCAAAGAAAAATAAAGGAGGGTCAGCATTTAAATTTAGATTTTATTTCTGGGGGTGCATGAATTTTCTGGGGGGGGGATTCAGGGGGAAGCCTAAATTCTGTCAGCGTCCACGAAGAAAGACGGAACAAGCAGTCATTTGAGATGAGACAAAGTGAGGTCAGGTCAGTGGAAACAAAAATTTAGAGGTAGCAATAAGACGTCATTTCAGAGATGCAACTGTGCCTACAAGTCCATGAAGGAAGGACCACTCTCAGCTGTGTCTGCACCAGTCAGATACCTGAGACTCAGCTGTTTCTGCTAGCTCCAGAAATCTCCTCTCTGACGGTCAACTTCCCTTGTCTTTGTTTGTGGTACAAAGTCCATAGGGCCTGGAGAATTTATTAATTCCAGAAGCATTTATTAGCATCTTTTATTGATGGGTACAAAGCCATGGTGGACATAACCTTTGATCCCTGTCCTTAGGCATACACTATCTAGGAGGGAGACAGCATTACAGAGCTGTGTAGTCAGGGCCACAAGGAGACAGTCCCTGTGTTGTAGGAGCAGGAGTGGGGACATTGACCCAGGTTGGGGTATTTGGAAAGCTTGTAGGGAAGGGCTACATAAACCAACCACAGTCAAAATGTATTACAGGGCAGGAGTCTTGGCAGGCAAAGGCAGAGAGGCAGAGGCCCTGGAGCACCTGCCCCCAGGCTGTCCTTGTTGCTCACTACAGAGCTGCAAGTGTTTAGGTTCTTGCTTGTTGCTTTCAACTAGTCTTGTCTCTCAAGCTGGGCTCTAAACTCCTTGGGGAGACTTTGTGCAGGAGTGGGTGTGAGAGTAGAAGAAGAATTAGAACTGTGCCCAGGAGTGTCCCTGGTCTAAGGACTCTCTTCTCCCAATACTATCTGTCATCTCAATGAAATTTTGCCCTTTGTCCCTCAGTCCTATGGAATTGACAGCCATGGCTCGAGAAGCAACAGAAATGGAAGGCCTTCCTCATTAGACTCATGCTACAAATACATTACTGCGCATTGGGGGGTGGTGTGGAGAGAGAGGAGAGAGGTCAGGATTGGAATGAATTTAGTCATTTCAGCTAAAGCCAGGTCTGTGCAGTCAAGCAAAATAGCCCCAGAAGAAGATGTTGATGGCCAGCAGAAAGATGGCATTGATGTTGCAGATGTTTCTCCAAAGTGGTTCCTCCGCAATGCTGGTCAGCTTCTGTTCCAGCACAGCCTTCTCTCCTGAGCTCAGGGCTTGCTGTTGGGCCTCAGAGATCCCACAGAACCAGGCCCAGAGCCATTTTCCCCAGGACCCGTGTGAACCTGGGTGACAGGCCAGAAGGGAAAGAGGAGAGGAAAGGGAAGAAGAAAGGGTAGAGAAAGGGAAGGTTTGGGTGGGGCGGGCAGGGCAGGTGGGGATGGTGAGAAATGGAAGAAAGCAGTTGGTGCACATGAGAAGGTGCTTTGTACAAAGCACAGTCTGGGTGCTGAGTTGGGTTCCTAGGGTGAGTTATGTTTTTGTCTGTAGCATCCAAGTAGTGACAAGGCAGAAGCATCTCATTACAGGGGATGGTGTGCATTGGAGGAAGGGTAGCACCATTCATCCCAATTTAGAGCACTGAAGCAGATGCAGAATGAGGACAGAATGGGAGCCTATCTCACCCCGGAAGGGGAAGCATTTAAACCAGACAGGCTCCTTTCTCCTGCTGTGGGGCCCAGAACTGTGCTGTAAACCAGGACCGTGGCCAGCTTGACCCTCAGCCTTGTGAGGCCATGTGTAAATCACTCAGCTTCTTTGAGTGGCATGTGAGAATGGAGGTTGAGCACACTGCAAAGGTTACCAGTTCTGAGTCCAGGAGAGGCTATGTGGAGATGCATAGGAGCACAAGGAATGCAGCCAGACTTCCAGTAGTGTAGAGACAATGTGGTGCTAAGGTACAAATAGCACACCACACAAAAGCTAACCTTAAAATGAGTGATAAAGGAAACGAATCATTTCAAAGATTTTTTAAGTTAGTATAGATAGCATATTAAAAATAAAATTAATACAAATAGCCTTCATTGAGACTGATAAGAATGTATCAGAAATTTAGAGATAGTGGGAGATAATGGGTTAAGTACAATCATAGTGTGTCAGAGACAGAGGAATCTGGATGTGGAACGGCTCCCCTACTGTAGAGGAGACAAAACACTCTGAATCAGAGAGACCTATTTCAGTAGAGCTGCACTGAAAGCTAATAATATGACTTCTGCATTCTGCTTGTGCTGGACTTATTATCTCTTTGCATTCTCCTCATGGCTTTCTGGGGCAGGTGATGTACAAGGCTTTATGTGGTAATTCACATGTTCTGAGAATCCATGCCACCCAAGTAGCTGTTAAGCAGCATTCAATAACTTATAAACTCTAAATCTGGGGTCTATTTACTTGTTTAAGATTGACTCTACTGTCCTTTAATATTTTAAAACTTTTTTTTCACTTTCATAGGAACTCAGATTTATAATATGTGCCCTATGTCTGCCCATAGGATTTTTCAAGGGGCTTCTTCTTCTCTGTCTTGAGATTTATTTTATGAAGAAAGAGCCACTGCACGCAGCAGACACCTCCCCTGTCTCTCACTCCTCCATGCGGTGTTTTGTGATGGAGCTGGGGGTTGGGGGAACAAGAACACTATTTCTCTCATTGGACATCATGGCTGACTCAGGTCTCCTTTTCTTCCCTTGGAGGTAGCTGCCCACCAGGAGCAGGCATTCCTTTGTGTCTCCAGGAACTGCTTTGGCCTAGACACAGGGACCAGCAAGAAGTATCTTTCTTAGTAACTGTAAGTCTGTCTAGTCCTGGAGCCCAGCTGTTGATTTTCCCTTGGTGAGACAGTTCCTTCCCTGTCCTTTTTACTTGCCTCACCTAAGCAACCACTTTCAGGATGATCTTTCCAGGCCATAAGCTTTATAGGGGCCAGAATTGGCCCTCACAGTGATGGGGAAACAATTTTGAGACCCCAACATTATGTACATGGGTCATAAAACTTGAAAAACAGACATGAAGTTACATTCTGCCATGCAAAATACACCTAAAGGTAAGACCAGGAAGAGTGGCTTTGGCCCATGGTGGTACTTTTGAAGAGTGCATCTGTGTTTGATTGTGGATATTTGTGAGAGATTCTGCCTGCTTTTCAGATAGCTTGTAACAGTGCCCCCTTGACTGCTGTAGCCTGGAAAAGAACTTTTAAGTCATAGACCCAGGTGGGGCTCTGGAACTCATGGTGTCAGTAACTGTTGGCCAGGAGCCATTTGTCTAGCATATGGTCCTTGATCAAAGTTGAAGGGCCTCAAAAGATGGGAGCCCGTTCAAGCCTGAGGGACAATATAGGGCCCAGATCCAGCAAAGGCAAGAGAACTAGTTGAGAATTGGCAACCATGTAGGTCCAGCAAGGGGCACTGCTAAGCTTGTCTGTGCTTAGTTCACTGCAGTTAAAGGTGTGAGTCCCAGAAGCTGCTGCAGACTAAATCTTTTTCTGAAGTCTGGGGGAACTTTGCACAAAGAGATGCAAAGCAGCTGCCAAAAGAACTCCGAATTCACCCAGGCACTGTGACTCTCCCTAGCTGAGGCTAACACTTAAATTTTATTTAATTTCTACATCATAAGGAAAGATGAATTCATTTTGGACTTTAACTTGTAAGTATTGTGACTTATTGCATTTAAAAATTTCCTTGGAAATATAACAGAAAAAATATCTCTATAGTTTTGGCATGCTGCCTTTGGGGTGTCTTAATATTAATATTTAATCTCACTACAGGAAAGCTACCTCCACATTGTATCTACAACTGGCACATTGTGTCTTAGATTTAATTAATATATTCTTTCAACACAGTTAAGAACCTCTGGGAAACCACTAGCAGCTCTAAGAGATTCCAAGGAAAGTGGCTGTTGTTTTGAGGTATTCCTCAGGCAACAGCACAACTACATGGAGCTGCTCTCCTGCTTCTGTTGTGTGGTTACAGGCAGAATCAACAAGACTAGTGGGGAATAGATAAATAAGTAGAGACAGGGAGTAGGGTGGCTGCTTCTTGGTCATGCCTGATGTTCCCTTCCACGTGGAGGAAATACAACCATCAGTTATACCTCATCAGTTATGAGGGCAGTATTTTGACTCTATCTTTGCCAATAGTTCAATAATCACATGGAAGGTGAAAGGATGGTTGTGACTGAGGCTTACATCCTCAGCTACTCCCAAATGGGACCCTGGGGAGTCCTTGGCATAGTGTCTTTTCCCTCTACTCCTCTGTGATATGGACTTCCAGCATGCACTTAACCTACCTCTTGGTTGTTCAGGCTCCTGGCTGGAGTTTGCTGTTGCTCCACCTTCTTCAGGGCATCCCCCAGCTGCACTCTCTGCCAGCTCTGGAGTGCTGTCCTTCTCCTCCTTCACACTCACACAGGTCTCCTTCTCCAGCTCAGACAGGGGACAGTTACATGTCCAGGCGAGCAAGCTGGAGGTAAAAGAAACTCAGTTTGAAACCAGAGCCTCTGGAGGAAAGTTCTGCTGTAGAAAGAGATCTCATCCATGGAAGGCTGTCAGAGCAACAGCAATTAGGGTAAGGAACAAGGTGAAACTGGGGGCCAGGGACTGGGATCTTGGCCCTGGTTGCCCCTTTCTTAAAATGTGAGTCTTCCTTGAATACCTATTTTCTGACAGACTTGGCCTGGGTGCTGGATTAGAGATCTGAGTCAGGAATTCCCTAGCTTCTTGGAGCTCTTCACATTCAAACTGAGGGAAACAAAGCTAGACAGAAAGGAGGTGCCTGACCATAAAATAAAAACTGGGCTGGGGAAATGGCTCATCAGTTAAGAGAAATGGCTGTTCTTGCAGAAGACCTGGGTTTGAATCTCAGTGCCCACATCGTGGCTACCAGCTGTCCAAAACTCCAGTTCTAGGGCATCCAATGCCCTCTTCTGCCCTCTGCGGGCATTGTATGGCACGGGTGCACTTGTGTACATGCACACATACACGCATACACAGAAAATAAAAAAAATAATAAAATAAAATAAAAAACTTTGAAGGTCAAGCAGAGGAGTTGATACCTGAAAAACCAAAACTTATAAGCCATGCAGAGTAACTGCAGACTTTAGACAAAACAAAGAAATTATAAGTTCTTGGATTTTCAAAGACCCCCCAGAGTGAATTGAAGGGGTTCGACCTGGAGGCTGTTGAAAAGGGAAACAAGAAATATTAAAAGAAATAGCAAGTGCCTGAGGAAAGAGGTCTGAGGGCAAAGCGTAATTATTTATTCATTCATTCATTTATTTATTATGTATTTATTATTTATTTATTTATTTATTATTTATTTATTTAGTTTGCAGTGCTTTCCATCAGACCTCTAGGGCCTTGTGCATGTTAGGCAAGTGTTCTATCATGGATCTACCTCCCCAGCCCTTAGGGGATGTTAGGAGACCAAAACTTACAGGATGTAACTTATGGAATGATCAAGTGAAGAAGAGGAGAGAGACTACCATGGCTCTCAATTACTTCTTGGATGATGATATAGCTAATTGAGCTCCCTCCCAGGAACTGAAGACAAAAAAACAGGAGTGAGTTTGGAGGGAGAGAGAGAGAGAGAGAGAGAGAGAGAGAGAGAGAGAGAGAGAGAGAGAAACATGACTCAAAGAGAAGGGAACTAAGTGTTGATGTGTCTTTAATGTTTCTGAGACCATCAGAGAGAAGAAACAAATCTCATGCCCCTTGAATATCCCTGGTGGCTTTTCTTCTTCTCTCTTCTTTTTTTTAATATTTAAAAAATTTTTATTTTATGTGTATGAGTGTATTGTCTGCATGAATTTAAGTGCACCCCTGTCATACAATGCCCGTGGGGGTCAGAAGAGGGTGTTGGATCCTCTGGAACTGGAGTTACAGAGGGTTGTTAGTCACCATGTGGGTGCTGGGAATTGAACCCATGTCCTCTGCAAGAGAAGTCAGTGCTCTTAACCACTGAGCCATCTTGTCAGCCCCCTCTTCTCCCTTCTTTATGATCCAGAGGACTAAGCATAACAGCTTCTCTAGCTGATATCAATGGTGTTAGACTCAACCTGATGACATGACTCTGAATGTCACCTTTAACAAGATTCTTCCCCTGCCCAGGCATGTCTGTTACATACAGAGCCAGGTATCCACCCACCCTGTTCCACTGTCTACTTTCTACTATGTGGTCTTCAGTGCCAGGCCCAAGGGTGTTTCTGTTTGGGATCATAAAGACCTGAGAGAGTTCTCTGCTCATCCATACCTCTCTATACATTTTACTTTATACTTAAGATTGTACACAGCTAATAGCATGCAGACATCATCTCTTCATGTTACCAGGAGTCTGTGGATTTTGAGTTTGAGTCTTGAGAGAGTGTTTGGCAAGAGAAAGAATTGTGTATCATAGAAAGCTGTTGAATTCATAGCCCAGAGACATTGTAGGGGTGAGAAGGGTTATATGTCGCAGATTAGTTTCTAAGGAATAATTTTTAAATGACAGAAAGAGAAGCCCATAGAGAGTTCAGAAAATAACAGAACAAAAACCAAAACAGGAGAGAAACAGGTCAGAAGTGACTAGAAGAGAAGTCTTCTGGGTTTAGGAAGTGGTCAGTACTATCTAGTCTCAGAATTCACTTAAGTAAGATAGTGACAAAGAAGTGGTTGTAAGTTTTATCAACAAGATTATGAGTGACATTCTGGGGATGACAGTGACTGGGACAGCAGTGGATTGAGAAGAGGTAGGTAGGAAGTGGAGGGTGGGACTGGAGACTGTTCTTGTCAAAAGCCTGTTGAGAGGAGGAGGAAGAGGAAGCAGAAATAAGTAGAGGACATTCAGGGATGAATTCTAACTGGGATTTGCCTTGGTGTAAGGAAAGAGAAGTCAGACAAGAGAGAAGCTAAGGCCTCACCAGCAGGAGATGAGTGCTGGAGGGGCCATTGGGAGAGCTAGCCTCCATTGCTCCTCAGTGGGAGCCTCTTTTGTTTGTTAGCACTCTAAGAAACTAATTCATTTCTATTTTATACGTAAGTGTTTTGTCTGAAGGTATGTAAGTATACTACATGCATGCAATACTCATGGAGGCCAATAGAGGGCATGGATCCCTGGGAACTGGAGTTTCAGAGAGTTGCTGATCACCATGAGGGAGCTAAGAACTGAACCTGGGTCCTCTGCAAGAGCAGTCAGTGCTTGTTACTGCTGAACCATCTCTCCAGCCCTGTAAGGCCATTTTTCAAGCTCTCAGGTACCACACAGATGAGAGTGACTTTTAATGTTCCATGTTCAACTTCTGCCATAGGCCTGTTAGAGGCTGGATTGTGCCTTTCAAACTTCCTATGTTGAAGTCTTAGCTCTCAGTACCTAAAAATGTAACTACACAGAGCTATAGAGATGGCTTAATAGTTAAGAACACTGGCTATTCTTCCAGGGGACCTGGGTTCAGTTTTTAGTACATACATGGTAGCTAACAACCATTCTCATTCATAACTCCAGTTCCAGGGGATGTGACACCCTCTCCTGGTCTCTGCAGGCATTGTACCTATGTGATGCATTTATATACATACAGGAAAAACACTCATTCACATAAAAATAAATAAAAATTAAGAAAGAGTATAACTTCACATGGAGACACAGGGAGAAGATGGAGTTAAACAATCACAAAGAGCAGTTTCAGAGGAAAATAATCCTGCTGGTTTCTTGATTTCAGGCTTCCAACCCTTAGAATATGGAGATGGTACCTTCTTGGTGCTTATGCTACCCAAGCAGTGGTAGATAGCTACGGTGGCCTTAGAACACTAGTAAGACTCTAGAGGGAGAAAGATTTCCATGGGTATTTTTCATCAGCATGTAGCGGCTGGGGAGTCAGTCAGCTTGGGAGAGTGGGGCTGAGCTCTTAATCTTGCAAGCTGTCTGGTTCTTTTCTCTTGTGCTTCCCCCTCAACCATTAAGAAAAATCTCTACTTCTCTTCCAACATCCAACTTAGAGAGTCCTTGCCAGTGTACCTGCTCCTGGACCCTAGTGGAGACCACCTCTTCTTCTGTCCTTGGCCTCTCTCCTTGAACCTAGTCCTTCTGTAAACAGTGTGTGTTGGCATCTATCTCCCTTGGAACAGTTGCTGGCAGGGACCATTCATCTTTGCAAGCCCAGCCTAGTACCTGACACACAGTGGATAGTCACTGAGTAACTGAACTGAATGAGTTCCTTTTCACTTGGGAATTCATAAGACAGTGAACATGTGAGACCATACATAACCTAAGAGAGTAAAATTCCTGGTAGGGTTCCAGGCATTAGTAGTAGGGGTATTATTTCCAGGGGCTTCAGTCTGGGCATGCCTCTTGCCTTTTCCTCAGGAATGGAGACTGTGCAGAGGCTGACTGTGACAATAACGACGGCAGTAAGTCCACAGAGAAGGAGAGCAAAGTACAGGTAGTGAAAGTCTTTCAGAACAGCTGGCCTCCTGTCCATCTCCCCGCAGGCTGGGGCAGGGTATGAGAACTCCAGGATCATGCGCAGCAGGCCTACTCCCAGGCCAAACATGAGGCCCCAGAAAGCGCCCTAAGGACAGAAGACAGTCATAGTCAGGGTAAAACTGGTAGGAGGTTGGAAGACCCTCAAAGCTAAGAGACACTACTCCCACATCTCCCTCTCACTGGTTTATTCGTGTTTGGAAAGTTCATTTAGTGACTTCCCCATTCCTGACTTAAAAAAGACAGGCAGAATAATGTACGGAAATGTTTGGTGTAGACTTCAGAGCTGCACTAGGGTTGAGATCATGGCTCCACTAGAAATAAATGACTTGAAGCCACTGACTTGAGTATGCTGGCTCAGAGTTTTCTTATGTGCAACAAAAAGGGAAACTAGTAAATACTGTCACAGAGGCTCAATGTTCAACTAGAATAGAATGCACATTTTTCTATTATGCAAAGAATGCCAGAGTCCTTTATCAAATTTCTGTTATGATAAATCAGAAATTAGAACAGAAGCCCACTTCTCCTTTTGAAAAAATAAAGTTTCTGGGACCGCCCATTAATTATAGCTCCATTTGTCCCTAATCTGTACCTGTTCCTAGTGTGTATGAGTCAGATAACAGATTTTAAAAATGATATGACTGACTTCAACACTCTAGAGTAAACAAGAGAATCCAAAATTCAACTGGGTTTAGCAGTGTACTGTTGTCATTGGCAAGATTAGACCTCTGCAAGTAGAAGATATCCTGCTTTTAGGGGGCATCAAAGAAAAGGTAACTTTGACATCCTTTGTCAGGACATTGAGCTCTTATACTGGTTGTGGGGAGTTCTGGCCATGATGTTCTTTAACTCCTCAAGGTTTGTCCAGCAGATTTTGACATGCCTTTTCTATTCAGGGATGTAGTCAAGGTTCCCATCCCATCACCTCTACCTTCTTCCTACATTTCTGTCATGTTTCAGTGCAGTTAACAGGAAAGATGTGCATGAAGCACCCCCATGAGCTCACATGGAATCATCACTGTTGTGTTTACTGTTTTTTGGCTTACACATAGGTTACAGGAAGATTACAGGGTTAGAAATGGAACAGAGCCTGGAGAACCTCAAACTGTCTTGCACGTTCACACAGTCTCTTTTGTCTAGCACATTCTTTCCCAACCACTAATCCTTTACATGTCACTTCTCACATCACTAATCCTCACATGTTACTTTGTTACTTCTCCCTCTCCCAGGAGTCTCTTCACTGATTTTTAACTCCCCTGTATACCACTCCCCTTTGCTATCATTGCTTATTTGGTCATCTCTCTTCCCTGCCTATCCAGGATGGTGGATCTATGTAAACCTTGTAAACGATTACACTGTTTATTAGGTGAGTGAAATAATCTTGACCTGATGCTATGGGAAGGAGGTGAAAGCCAAGAGGGGTTGCCCAAGGTTCCAGAGACAAAGTGAGTGACAGAACTTCATCTACAACCTCTGTTGTGTGAGAAGAAACAGGGATGCTGCACTCACAGGCTCTGTGATCCTTTTTCAGAAGATGACCAGTAAGAAGAGGGCAGTGATAAGTGGGGCCAAGTAGCGGGTGACAGACTGGATGTAGTCAAAGAGCTGCCCACTGTTGGAGCTCTGAATTATAGGGATCCAGAGGATGCTGATGACTACCAGAAATACCACAAACATCCTGCAGAGAAAGCACATGGGTATAGTGGTGTGAGGCATAGGAATCAGGAAGGAAGAGTAGACAGGTGAATGGTCCCTGGGCCAGAGAAGGGCAGAAGGTTAGAATCTCAAATTCTATGATGTAGGAGTTTAGAGTTAATACTAGAAATTGGAATTTCATAATTAAAAAATGCATATTTCTAAAAACTCAGTATTTATATATTGAATGGCTTCAAAGTTGTGCCACCCACCACTGATAAAGGACTAACCCATTCCTTCTGCCCACCATCCACACAGCCAAAGGTGGGTCTCTGCTGAGGGTATCTTTCCTGTGCACTCATCCTTGTTTGAGCAGTGCCCTTCTCTGTGCTCACCCTGACACACTTCTCCACCTCTTCTCTTGGCCCCCTCTCAACTGATCCTCACTCAGGCCAAAGTCCCCAAAGCATTCTTTATGTCTTATCTTATAAATACATGAACAAATTGATGAAAAACTTTCCTTGGATGTGTTGGATGCAATAATGCATATGACCAGGAGATAAAGCTAAAAGCACACTGATTGATAATAATTTGACAGCAAAATTGGGCAATTGTTCTAAGACAAGTGGTGCTGCTTTTTGCAAGGGCGCTTGTCCTCTTCTCTTTTCACTCCCATTTACCTTTCCTCAGGTCCCATCCGAGCAGTAACTACCCATGTGTCCTTCTTGATGCACATCCCCTGTGCTTCTTTTAGATGTTATATTGGTCAGTTCCTGGGTGAGCACAGATGGACAAGATGTATTTGTCTATTAGGGCAAGAAGCACCTAGGTGAAAGGCACAGTGAGTATAAACAATGCGATATCTAGGCCAACACACCTATCCACCAGAGAGGTGGGAATATGTCTTTTAACTCAGAAGTCTGTATTAAAATCTTAAATTATGAAGCAGAAAATTCAGAAAGGGCCCCATAACCATATATAAACTATAAATCCCCAGTCTACGGAGAATAAGAAAAATTACCCACCAAGCTGTGCTTTAAGTATAAACTACTGCATGCAAGGTAATGTTCAAATTCTATAGCTTAATGTTTAAGACTGTGGACCATTTGGTGACAATTTGCCTGTGGATGTCTCCTTTGAGACAGCACTTCACTGTGTTTCCTGAAGTTCCTCCTCCTCATTGTGAAGGAGCATTGTGAGAATTGGGTTAGCTGACTCTTCCTTGTGCTCCCATTACAAATGTGAAGCGTATGTTTGGGAGCATGTCTGGCAGACTAGATTTATTATTATTCCCATTATCTTGGTATAATACCCAAAGCTGGTCCAAAAGACCCCAGGGGGCGGTGGGTGAGCTAGGCTGATGCTCTTCCCATTTAAACTTCACCTGGTATTGCTCACATGTGTTGTTATCATCTCTTACTCTATTGGTTCAGTCCAAGAGATAGTTAAATACGCAGAGAATAGATTTTTCTTCCTATTATCCTGAAGAGGGAGTGCAGAGCAGGGAGGGGCTTAACAAAAGGGCATATAGAAAGTCAGCTGCAGATCCCAGTGTTATGACTGCCAGTCTGGGGTCTGAACCAGTCATTCTTCCCAGGAAGAAGGAAGAGATGAAGGGAGAAAATTCTTTAGGAAGAACGTGCTCTGGAAGGACAAAAGGATGGGTCAGTGCACCTGCCTACTACCATCAGTTCTTGCTCTTGTTGCCTGCTTGCAGAAGCGCTGCCACACATCAATGGCAAAGAGGGTACTGCTGCTGTTGAAGATGGAGGTGAGTGAGCTCATGAGGGCAGCCATGATGACAGCAATCATTAGACCCCGCAAACCTGGGAAGAGTCAAGGGCTGAGTGGATAGCTGGCTGTTTAAAGTTTCTGTTAGGACAATGGAGGTTGCAGCAGCGTCACATCAAGCCAAGTTTGGAGTGAGGATGGCATGAAAAAGGGTTAAGGGTCCCATCTGCCACAGATACAGAATGAAGAGATCCACGGTGTTAGAGGTGTTCAGGCTCTCTCTGCCTTGTCTGTGGCCTTGGGTGGCCTATCTGCCTTGATTTCTTTCTTGATACCACAGGTATGAGAGTCAAGATCATAAGAGATTTTCTGCAGCCTTCATATTTGCCTTGGTTTCATAGCTATGAATGATAACAGACCCCTGGGTTTGTGGAGAAGGAGGTGGTTGTTAATCACTTTTAATTTTTAAGATGTATTTTCTTCATTTTTAAAAAAGTGTTTTTTTCCACATTGTGGTCATTAGCTAAAGCCCCAGCCTGGGAGGCAGAAGCCTTGGGTTGTTTCTTGACCTTGCAGGCAATTAGTTAGATGGATGATCTTTAGACTAGAAGCTTTCTCTTTCTGGATACACACACACACGCACACATGTATGTATGTATGTATGTATGTATGTATGTATGTATGTATTTGATCTTTTTGAGACAGGGTTGTAGCCCCAGCTGTCCTGGAACTCACTAAGTAGACCAGGAGGCTTGCCTTGAACTCACAGAGATCCGCCTGCCTCTGACTCCCAGGTGCTGGATTAAAGGCATGAGCCACCAAGCCCAGCCTATATTTTTTTCTGGACAGTGGGAAGATTGGTAGAGCCTGCTGATATCTGAAATATTTGACTCCAGTGACCAAGCTTCTGGAAATATGACTGTTCAACCCTAGCGAGATGACATGAGCCCTGATCTCACCCAGGTCCTCTCTTTCTCCTATCTGCATGCTTAACCAAACCCTAGATGCCATCCTGGATGCCTCCTGGGAACCCTGGCAGGCATTTTGTATTCAAGAGTTGTAAACTAAATGTCCTTGCTCCCTCTGAACCTTGTTTCTGTTTGCTAATAAGACCTGTCTGGCCCCCACTCCTGAATTATCTTAGACCCTTCTTTAACCTCACCTCCTTCCTTCTCCACCTTAATTGCCTTGCCCTCGCTGGCTTCCACCATCTCTGCTGTTTCTTTATTCTCATTTTACCAGAGGGAGAGCATAACTACTCACCCAATGCCTTCTAGTTCCTTGGCTCAAAATCATTGCAAATCCAGCTTTTAAAGACCAAGGCTTAGAGCCATCTTTGGGCCTCTGTATTTCCTGTCCTTGATAAATAGTAATTATCAAGTCCTGCCAATTCTATTTCACAAATATTTTCAAATGCGTGCTCCCCATCTCTAAAGATACTTATTTGTCAAGTCGTTAGTGCCACTTTCTTGGACCATTGCAGACCTTACAGTGATGTTTCCTTACCCCCCACACCCCTTATCCAGCCTGTTTCCGTACTGAATCCTCTATACAATGGTCCTTCCAAAGCATAAATTCAATCATTAGTTCTCTGGCCAAAGTCCGCCAGTACTTCCATTGCCCTAGGAGAAAAGGCTGTGCTCCAGAACCTTGTTTGGCCATGACATTCCCATGGGAAAGTTGTCTTCAATGGTCCTTTCTGCTTGCTCCATGCACCTCATGCTCTCTCTACCCTCGTCATTTACTTATGCACTGTCTCTCTGGAATGATGTTTCCCATGCCTTCAGCCTTTGCCCAAGCATTCCCTGTGACTTAGCTCTACTTCTCCCCTTTCAGAAGTTCTTTCTGATGTGTCCCAGGCTGGGGCAATGCTTTTTTTATTACCTCCTGTCACCATGTCCTATACCCTTGGTGAGTCCAGATATAGCCCTTGGACACTGCATAAAGCCTGAGAGCAGGAACTGGTCTCTTACCTCTGCACCTCCAACACCAAGACCACATGGTAGGCATCTTAGAAATCCTTATGGAGTGTGTGCGTGTGTGTGCGTGCATGTGTGTGTGTGTGTATGTGTGTGTGTGTGTGTGTGTGTGTGTGCAATCTGGGGGGAGGCAGAGGTGGATCTCCCCCTTCCTTCTTTTCAGCTATTTGTAATACAATCAATCCTGGGTAGTGAAAATTGAGGGAGGTAGATGGGAGTGGAGAGGGGTGGGGTAGATGAGACTCACCCACAGGCATAAGAGCCATGACCAGTTTGGGGTAAGCAATGTTGGAGCATCCCACTCGGGTCCCATATACTCTCTGACAGATATCAGGGTCCACACAGGAAACCTCATCTGCAGAAGGGAGAAGTGTGATCCTGTGCTTCTTCAGGTTGGCTCAATATTTACTTTCTAATACTATGGGAATACATTCACTGGAGAGTCCAACTTAATATAGATGGCCAAATGGCAAGTGGTGTCTGATCTGTAGGTTTCTTGACCATAACCCTGCAAAGGTTGACTCCTTTGATAAAAGCAAATATCCTTGGAAGGAGCCAAGAATGTCTTAATTTTTTTCTGCATACGTGAGAGAAGAAAGCCAGAATTGCATTCAGATATGAGTTTCTCCTACTCAAATATTTATTAGAGGTATGATTTTAAAAGTCTAAAATGTGTACTATGTTCTCTTGATAGAGGAATCTTGCCCCTGCATTGGTCCACCTGTTCCAGGAGCACCTTCTCTGTAAATCTGTGCAAGATCCACAATGGCCAAAGAGTACAAAGAATTCTTACCTGGAAACAGGGCCCGGCTGATCATGCCAGGCATGACGATGAAGAACACAGGGAGGATCTTCAGGTAGCCCCCCAACACCGAACCTCCCTTGGCATGTGACAAACTCTTGGCAGAGAGAGATCTCTGGACAATCACCTGAAAAGTCAGTAATGGGGCTGTGTACTGGGACACTTAGGGGCTTAGCTCAACACAGGTAAGCCCCAACACTGGTCACTTCTTGTCTCTACTTTGTATCAGGAAGATGTCCAACTCTCTATGCATCCATGTATCTGTTTTTGGTTTATTTGTTGACTTTTTTTCAGTAACCTCCTGGTAGATCCAGCCATGTTTGTCTGGGAACATTACCTGATCTGTAGACCAACACCATGTGGCCAAGACTGTGAGCCCAAAAATGAGACCTGGCCAAGGGATATCTCCATTCACAGGGTCGTGAAACATGTGGAAGGAGTCAGGTCTTGGGAGATGGCAGGTGGTATTGGGGACTGTGGCATTAGGGATGGCCTGCAGACTGTGAGCCCAAAAATGAGACCTGGCCAAGGGATATCTCCATTCACAGGGTCACGAAACATGTGGAAGGAGTCAGGTCTTGGGAGATGGGAGGTGGTATTGGGGACTGTGGCATTAGGGATGGCCTGCTTGTATAGCTGCTGCAAGCCTGGATACCAGCCCACTTCCTGAAACCCTGTAGGGAGAGACACAGTGGGAGACAAGGCTCTGAGACCCCACTGGGCCCAGCTCTGCAGACCACGTGTATTCCCAGCTCACAGGCCCATGTGAGCCCCTGGGTTTGAACTGACAAGTAGGTTTGGAATAAGAGAGGGCACTGGGCCTCAGGCTCAAAATTGCTTGTCTGGAGAAGTGAGAAACTTTATTTTATGGAGGCATGGATTAGAGAATAGATATGTCTGTGCTCTAGAAAGTTCTAGAGGTGAGGATGAGGTGTATTCAGGTCTCTTCCTTACCCAGAAACATAAGGACCAGGGCTACTCCCACCATGATAACAGTCTGTAGAGCATCTGTATAGATCATGGCTGTGAGACCCCCTGAGGACCCAAGAAAAGGTTGCATCAGTCAAGCCAACAAGGTGTTCTTCTCTGGGAGCCCACCTTGTGCTTGGCTACACTGGGGGAGGGGAGAGGGAAACTAGAGAAGACACATAGCTCTCTTAACAGTGGTTAGCCACAGGCCCTTCTCCAAACCTCACCCTCCTCTGCCCCACCCAGAGAAGATGGAGGCAGGTCGCAGACGAGTGTGTTCTGATGTAGATCTTTCTGTCCCTTGTGTATCACACCATCAAAAGTCTGCTCTTGTCATCAGTATTCCTAGGCTCTCTGCTTTTTCTCACAGAGGCATTTAAGTGGCCCCATATTTCAAGGACAACTTAGTCATAAGTTATTCTGTCTTGGGCTGGGGTCCCAGGGTACCCAGTCTTATGTGAAGTGACTTGGAGGAAACAGGACAGGGTGTGTCTGTGACCCTTCATGTGCAGCTTACAGTAACTCTGACCCAGACAGTAGTTCACTGATCTCTCACCTGGTCCCCTGTGTAGTTCAGCCCTTAGTGGGACTCTGAGTGCCTCTTCTCCCTACCTCTATCTGGCTTTGATTTCTCATTTGTGCCCTTTCCACTCACCTTCCTCTCTTCTACTCTCTCTTACTATCCTCCTCTATGTGATTTGATTTTCTTATTTTATATCTCTGTCTTGGACCCCATTTGTCTCTGTCTCTCCTCATACTACCTCTCTCAAGATTAGTCTCCCCTGTCCTTTGTCCATCTTTCTCTTTTCAGTCTTTCTCTCCATGTCTCTGGCAAGTGGAAACTTCCCTCCCTGCTTCACTGTCTCTGCCCAGTGTGACCTTCCCCTTGTCGTACCTGCTATGGTGTAGACAGCTGTCACCACCAGCAAGATCACTGTGGAAAGATAGAGGTTCCAGCCCAAGGCCAACTGGATGAAGAGGGCTCCAGAGAAGATGTCAGTCTGCAAAGAGCCAAGACCCACAAGTCCTGCCACCCAATGCTTCTGGGATGGCTGCTCATGGGTGTATCACCTATCTTTACCTACCTGTCTTCACACCGTGAAGACAAGGCTGCAGAACCATGCTAACAAGTATGGGCTTGACTCTGAAGAGCCACACTATGGAGTGAGCTTGACCTTGCAGACACAAAGGGTTGGTAGAGTTTAAAGTGAATCAACACTGCATAAAGCTTTGAATGTAAGAAAAGATTTAACCAGCTAGCCCTGCTAGCTTTGTCTGTTGGTCATGAAAGGTGGGGTGAGTGGTGAAAGTGGAAGACGGAGGACATGAGTTGGAGATGGTGAAGACGAGGACATATGGGAGGAGAGACTAGACGTCCACTGTTTCTGGTTGCTTTCTGATGCAGCAGAGGTCCACCTGGCTGGCTGCTCAGTGGGCCCTAGTGCATGCACCCATGAGTTCTGCATAATTCACATGCTTGGGCTATTACAGGGCTTGAGGTATAGACTTTACCACAGCTGATAGTGTTGGTGGAACAAGGGCCCTTAATGTTGTTTCATTCCTAGATCTGGAAACTGAAGAGTTGGTAAAGTTGGTTCTCTTCCCTTCATCTTATGCTTTGTGAGCCCATTCCATGACTGTTTACAAACTGATTACGAAGTCTATAACAGGATAGTGTAGAGGTGACCTAGGGTGTGTTAGGGGCTTAAAACTTCAGTTCCACTTCCAGAATAAACCATCTGTGTAGACAGACCTATTTGATAGGTGCAGGTTTGTTTTTTGAGTTTAGACCAATAAAGAGACAGTAAAGACCTTTCTGACTCTGACATTCTGGGCAATTAATAAGCAATTGCTGAGTGAAGAATCAGTTAATGAAAAGATGAGTGACTGGACTCTAGTTTGATAGTTCTTTGAATGCAAGCTCTGATATTTATCATTTATCTCTGAGTGCCTCACTGCTGGGTAGGAACATGCACTAAAGGCATGTAGATACATATTTCCTTCCTTCTATTCTTCATTTCATCCACACACTCATCAGTTTTATTCCTCTCTTTCCCTTCATGCTTGTTCCCCTCCTTTATCCATCCATCCCTTCCCTTATCCCTCCCTGCCATCGAGTGTCATCTTCTTCTCAGCACCAAGCCCATGGCAAGGAGGACACTTTGGAATAGTACCCACAGATATCTTGGTGAAGATGTAGAGTATGAGAGACAGGACTGACATGTACACCTGGATCCTCTGGCCCCCAAATCACTTCTTCAGGTACTGTGGCATTGTAACCACACCAGCTGCAATATACACAGGGACAAAGATCCAGCCTAGGGCCAGGAGCAGGAAGGTTGCCTGGGAGAACAGAGAGGAGGTGTCCAGATTGTAGACAAAGGTGCAGAGGTGACCTCCTACCTGGAGGCAACACATGTTGTGGAAGATTCCTGAAAAGGCAAATAAAGGCCCTGGGACCTGATCACAGTCCTTCTGGATAACCTCAGATGTGTCCACTTGTCTTCTCCAGGACTTTGTTTCCTCATCTGTATAATGGTTCACTGTGAAGCTTTCCAAGCACCTCTAAAATATCTATTATCCCTGGGGCCAAGAGTGGGGGTGGGGGAGGTAGATCTGACCCTTACCACTCCAGAGCAGCCAGGTCATCTTCCTTACATTCCATTCGAAGCCTCCAACAGCAAGGCCTCCAGCAGCCCCTGTCCCAGCAGGCCAATGAACAAGCCACTGCCCACATATCTGGACATCAGAGATGCTCCAGTCTGCAAGGCACAAGTGCAGTCAAGGGTCAAAGATCTTGTTTAGTCTGAAGCAATCTGGTTCGGAATCAACAACAGTGAGGAAGAGGAGGTTAGGGAATGCCCTAGGGACTTCAATTTCTTTATCCTCTACAAATATCTGAAAGGAAGGGTATTAATCTTCCCAATTGATGGAGGAATTAGTGTTAGGAATGATGATGTTTCTGATTCAAGGTCACTCTGAAGAAGTGGCAAAGTGAGACAGAAGGGAAGCCAGGAGAGGGAAGTCCATGAAGGAAGACTAAATTCTGACACTGGTGCCATCAATCTAAGGGCATTCAGAGATAAGGATGCTGAAGGGAACAGTAGAAGCTCTCACAGAATGGATGGGAGAGAGTCTACCCCCCAATCCCTAGCTCCTGAAGACTCCAGGGGAAGCCCAGGAAGAGAGAAGAACTAAGAGGCTGAGCCAGGGCAGGGCAGCATCTCAGTGTGTTCATTTTTCTTCAGAACAGTGGCTGGATGCTCGAAGACATTAGAACGTAGCAATAATGGCTATGAAGGCCAATCCTGGGTGTCAACTTGACTGGATCTGGGATTAATTGAAATGAGAGAGATCTTAATTGGATCATCTGAAGATGGAAGACACGCCCTAAATGTGGGTGTTACCGTCTGATGGCAGCCCCTATAAAAGACAATGGCAGAGGAGAGCACCTGGCTTCTTGCTGCTTGCCTTCTCTCTTGTGGTGAGTTTGTCTTGCTGCTGTAGACTGAATACTAGCTGTTCTTTTGGAATTCATCAGACCTTCAGTACCACATTGGGACTACTGAGCGACTATGGATTCTCAGCTTCTCCAGTGTGGTGCAGCCATTATTGGACTACTCAGACTCTATCCTGGGAATTAAGCTGATAAATCTCCACACATATATATCCATTCTACAGGTTCTGTTTCTTTGGAGAACCCTGACTAATAAAATGATAATCACAATAATGATGGCTGTTAGTGCTTATGCAGCTTTGTCCCACACCAGGTAATGTTCTCCATATTAGCACATTTAATCATCACCACAGTCCAATAAGGTTGGTGTTATGTTTCTGTGCTTTGGACCAATACCTCCAGAGATTCATATGTTAAGGGCTTGTTCTTCAGCCCATAGTACTGTTGGGAGATGGTGTGTCCTTTAAGAAATGAGGCATCTTTTATGTATATTGTCATATTTATAAATAGGGATAGTTTGATGTTTTCTTTTCCTATTTTCCTTTAATTTCCTTCTCTGGTCTTATTGCTCTCTCTAGTGTTTCAGCCACTATAATAAAAAGAGTAGGGGTAGTGGGCAGCCCTGCCTTGTTACTGATCTCAATGGGGTTGCTTTGAGGTTTTCTCCATGTAGGATGATGTTTTCTGTGTGTTTTTCATATAGAACCTTTATTATGTTGAAGTATGTTCCCTCCAGTCCTATTCTCTCTAGGACTTTTATTATAAAGGCATATTGTACTGTGTCAAAGGCCTTTTCCACCTCTAAATGGGAAGTCTTAGGCAATTGGGGATGTGTCCTGGAAGAGAACTGTGAGACCCTAGTCTCTTCTTTTTCACTCCTTAGTCATGAAGTAAGTGATTTTGTCACATATTTCATGCAATTTTATGATATTTTTTGCCACAGTCCCAAAGGCAATGGGGCCAATCAATTGTAGACTGAACCCTCTAACAGTCTGAACCAGAATAAACCTTTTAATAAGTTAATTATCTCAGGTATTTGTGACAGTAACAGATAAATGACTAACATATTTTTTATCCCTAATTCAGTGATGAAGGAACCAATGCCTACAAAAGTAGTCTGCTCAAGTCCCATAATAAATGAGCACCCAGATGAAGATTCGCGTTCTAGCTGTGTCGCTCCTGCAACTACTGAACACATGGTGGATGGTACCTAGTAAGCACACTCAGTGTTCTCTCTTATTAGAAAATAAGACCCAGACCTAGGAGGATAGAGGACCCAGGATGTGCTGTGAGGCTAGAAGGAGGCCCAGGGGCCTTTGGGGACAAGCAGACCTGGGGACCAGAAGAAGAACTCTGCTACAGTTTTGTGATTTTAAGAAAATCACTTTCTTTCATAAACACTTTCTTCTTCACTCCTAACATCTAGGGACTCACCTCCTAATTTCTTTTTATCAGGGAGGTGTTGGGAAACAGAAAGTGATTAGAAAGGAGGAGTGAGAAATTCAGAGAGGCAGCGGGACAGTTAAAAAGCACGAAGAAAAGAGGTCTAGTGTTGCTCAGGCCCTGTGCTACACACACCCTAACATATGTGTGTTCAAATCACACACACACACACATACATGGACACACATTCACAAACTTGCATATGGACGCAGATACACAAATCAGTACATGCATGTTTTGCTCATAGAAACTCCCATACATGCATTCATACAGATACACTCACATACATCCTCATACATATTCACATACACTCATACATATGCACTTACACAAATATACTGATACTCATACAACACTCAACCCATGCATGCTCTCACATACACACATGAACATGGCATCTTACATGCATGTACATATACATTATCACATGTATGTGTGGGCACACACCATACACACCACACACATATGTATTCACACATACACGTATTGTCACTCTTTCAAGGGTGTTGGCAGTGCTGCACCTCATTGGAGGACATGGGACTTCCTACAGCAGAGAAAGAAGACTCCTTGAGGAGCATTGAGATCTTTCCCCCTTGCCTTATCTAGGTTTCTCTGCTCTTAACTCGGAGACATCAGCAAGGTCAGTGGAAAGTCCAGGGCAGGAGAACCACATGGGCCTCTCTGGAGCTGAGAAGAGGTGGCAGCTACTCTTTTTGCACTCAGCCTTCCACACATACACTGTTCTCAGAACTGGAGAGTTACCCAGACACACAGATCTTGAAGGGCTGGACCAAGCTTTCTGAACCACAGGCTCTTCCTAAGACCAGCCACAAAACCTAGACTCAGGTCTTAGCTGTAGGAGGCACAGCTCAGAGCCCTGATGCAACTTTGAATATGCAGCATATTCTGCCACACATGAGAGTGTTTGGGGCACACACAAACATGGCAGTGTCCGTCAGGGCACCCGCTTTGTGCTCAGGGGATCTGTGTCTCTTAAACTCACAGCATGATGTGGAGCTCCACCTTTGCAGGTTCTGATAGCAGTCAGCTGAGTTCCTGGGCATTCTTTCTAACTGGCCACAAAAGCCTGCTCTGTTCTGTTTCTTTCTCCTTGACGTACTCATTTCCAAGGCCGTGATTATGAGATTCCAGCCAAGCCGAAACATTCTCAAGTATTTTTCTTTCTCTTCATGAAAAGGTGGCTGGAAACATCCATGGTTTGTCATTGTCCCCATGAACTTCCAGGCCACAGACTCCATCATACCAGATGTGATATCATGCTGAACAGACCATGGGCTCCCTGTCCCTAGTGCTTCCTGGTCTAAGTATCCCAAACTTCCAGAGTACCCTGGAGGCTACTTGGGTTTCCTCTACCTTGAGAGGGCAGAGCATGAGCAGTGTGGACAGGAAAGATGAGCAGAACCAAAAATAGAGGTGGGAAGATGGCTGGAGTTATGAGTGTGAGACTGTAAGACTGAATATGTATGAAAGTTGATGGGAGAGTGCATGTGCCAGTGTGTGCAAGTATTGTGACTATTGGACTGTGTGAATGTGTGTGTACTGCCCTAGTGTGTGCATGTGACTATGAGGAGGGTGAATGAGAAAGAGCATGGGCAGGAGGGTGTGTACATGAGCTTGATGTGCCTAGATTTGTGCATAGTTTCAGTTTCCACTGGGGCTGAAGACTCCATAATTAGTTTTCCAGGCAGAGTTTATCTTCCTTCATCCCACTTTTGGAGGAATAACTTAGTGTTTGAGGATTAGTAGAAATATGGAGTATGGGCTGATGGGACAGATAAGGATTCACAGACATTCGGGAATGATTTATGGAGAAGGTTGAGGGTTTATTCTTCTTGCTTCCCTGTTACTTTACTATTAAGCATTTGTGTCACTTTCCCAATGAAATCATGCCAACTTCCCACCCATCTCTTGTATGAGACCCAGGGACTTCTTCAAAACTCTCACCAGCCCCAGTGCCGCCTCTAGCCAAGGGTTTATAAGTCTGTTTACAAGTCTGTGTGTCTTGCCTCAACTCTGAGTATCTCTAAAACAGGAAACTCCAGATCTTTATCAATAAGTTCAGTGCCTGGCATAAGGCTCACCTTGAGACAGACCAGAAGGATTCAACTTTGCCCAGGGCATTTAGGTAGAGGGGTAAGCACTACTAAATGCTGTTAAGAACATTTACTTCCTGGGTCTTCTAATTTTTTGTTGTTTCCTGTGAATGAGCAAAACTGTGGAGAGAACGTGCTACCCTGTCATTTGAGTGACAGCTTCCCTTCTGCTTGACTGCCTTGATTGGGTAGCTGTCAAGCAAGCAGCTCCTTTTTGAGTGAGTGGTGAGACCATTATGGTATTCCAGGTGCTTTGAACACTTCATGGATTCACTGAGGAAACTATACTCCAACATCAAGGAATGCTGAAAGTACAGCCCTGCTGAAGCCACAAAGTTCTGCTTTGAGAGATCTTGTTGTACTTATGACTGCTTCAGGAAACCTGTACCAGATTTGGAAGACTACATTTTGGGCAAGACAAGCCTTAGTGAATGCTAGATGACCCTACACTTCCTCTAACTATATTTACTTAGGTAGGACAGGAATGGGTCGCACGTACCTGGTGGCACAGAAAAATCTGGTAGTGGTACAATGTGAGGATTGGGACTGATCCTTATGTGAGCTTGTGACTATTCCTTATATAAGGCGTGTGATTGGTGGAAATGGAAGAGAGGCAGCGGGACAGTTAAAAAGCATGAAGAAAAGAGGTCTAGTGTTGCTCAGGCCCTGTGACACATTTCTTCTGGCTATAGTAGATGATTGTTCTTACTCCTTTTAGTCTGAGAATTTTCTGTCTTGTGTACACCGCACATACCTGCTGCATCTCAGTGCTGTAACATTAGGAATCATATAGTCTACTGCCAAGGGACTCTTTGCCTGCTTGTGGTCTTTATTACAGGTGGAGCAGTCTGCATTGGTTATATGAAGAGCAGATGTTGGACCCTGGAGCACAGATGCAGCACTGATAAGAAGGCAACTAAGAGTTCCAGAGAACCCCTGGGAGCTAAGGGCCCTGATCCTTAAAGCTCTATGATACAACAGTAGGCTGAAGAGTTATAGAGCATAACTGAGAGCAGAAATTGGAAGAAGCCTAAAATTATAATGGAAGCACTGAGAACCTAAGAATGTGAAGAGCCAAGATGGAAACCGAGAGCACAGGACTGTAAATCTGGGTCACTGGAAGTGCTGATAACTTCACCATGACTTCATTGGAAAACGTTGAGATAACCGCTAAGGGTTAAAGAGCTAAGGACCCCAACACTCGAAGCTCAGAAACTGTCAGCTCTTGGATACCGGCACATGAAGATCATAGGAATGATCTTCAAGCACTTCAAGCAACAGCACTCTGGCTCTGAAAGCTGGGAGCCTGCTTCTATAGATGTAGAGTTACTAGTTTCTGAGTGTGGAATCCCAGCTCATAAATTTCTAAAGTTTAGTGCCATCAACATTAAGCTTTATCTCTGATTTCTATGTGAATAAAGCAAAAGAACAATTAGTGCACCATTTGTGACACAGGTAAGAGGCACCCAGGGGAGACTGCTCAGGCTTCTGGGTAGGCCGTGCCAACAGAGGAGCCCAGAGTCAGGAAAACCAATGGGAGGGTGTTGCCTGGGTTCAGGCAAGAAAACATGAGAGAAGAATATGGGTGATCAGGTGAGAGAGGATAGCTAAGAGTCTCTACCTTGTGAGAGAAAAGGGGAAGGTCAAATCACTGGCCACCAGCTCATCAACTTCCCAGCCAGGAAATAGCCTCCAATGGTCCCTCGGCTTGCACAGATGGATGACTGGAAAGGAAATGTAAAGATGTCATTACTTCTCAAGTGTCTCTCTAGGCCCTGCCCTTCACTCCTGATTGCCTGCATCCTCCAGTATAGGCACTGTGGGGACATAGGGCAAGAACTGAGGGAGAACAGAGCTATTTAAGTGTTGATGGTTTCACCATTTTTAAGCTATGGGTGTATGGGAGAGTCACTGTCTCTCTACAAGCTCTGCTAGGGATGCTGTGAAAAGCAAAGGAGGTAAAGGATCTTGAGGGTCTTCATGAGTAACAAAGCACTGTGCAAACATTTGAGGGGTCATTAGGATTTCCTTAATCTTCCCTCTGTCAGTGACTACTTGCAAGAGGTGGTTTGGAATCTTAGTTTCAGGTTGTCAGTGACCCTTTCTCCTGAGCTGGTCTTTCTTCTTCCCAGTCAGACTCCCACATTGGACACTGTGGTACTGCTCTGGCCCTTATATACATGGTCTCTGGCAGAATGTACATGGGCCTTGGGCAGAATAAAAAGCTCTATTTGTGACTTCCCTTGACATGGCCTGAACTCAGAATCCTAAGTGGTGAGCACTGAGCCTATGGAGGATCTTGGAAGGAACTAATAGGAGTCAGTCAGCAATCTGTTTGGGAATGTTCTCTAAAGAGGAACAGGCATATAAGAGATTTTCCTGGGAACATGAACCCAATCTTAATCAAAACACTAACAGGACGGGAGAAGGGCTGATAGTTAAGCTTTCTCCAATTTACAGGTCTTGATATGGAGAAGAGGTTGTAAGTCAGGTTAAAAGTAGCTAGAGATAGGTGGGCAGGGTGTGATGAGAGTCTTATCACCATAGGCAGTGGGGTAGATGTGTTGTGGTTTTCTTCAAGGCTCACATACTAAGTACCCAGTACAATATTCAGAAGTGGAGATTTAAGGGAATGATTGAATCATGAGGGTTTTGACCTAATCCATAGATTAATCTACTAATGGATTCATAATTGAATGGACTATCAGGAAGTCGTAAGAACTATAGAAAGACGTGATTAGAAGAAATGGGTCCCCAAAGGAGTGTCTTTGAAGGGTGTGTCTTGTCCTCATAGCATTTTCTTTCCCCCCTCTCTCTACTTCCCAGCTTCCACGAAGTGATAAACTTCTTCAGTCACATGCTCTTGTTGCCGTGATTTTTTTGCCTTATCACATATCTGCTGAAGTAGGGTTAGTAGACCACGGGCTTAGACCTCTGACACCCTGAGCCAAAATAAATCTTTACTTTCTTAAGTGGATTTTCTCAGGTATTTTGCCACAATAGAAAGCTAGCACAGGGGTAGAAGTTACTTCAATGTGGACAGCAACAAGTCTCTGACCAGATCTGAGATAAGAGAAGTCTTTGACGGAGAGAAAGGAAAAGGAGAAAATCACTATGGAGTGATACACACCATGCATACAGGGCCTGATGCTTGTTAAGCTTTGGCTTGAACTGTCCTGTATTTGTCACTTCTGATGCTCTTGGAGGCAACAGGAGCAACACAAATTCATTTTACACATGAGAATATTGAGCCACAGGGCAGGAAGGGCCTTGTCCAACCCATAAGGGAATTGGGGCTTTTTTAATTGGCTACCTCCCAGGAACTGCTAAGCCTTTTCTGCTCACTTCTTACTCATACCAGCCTTGTGAATCAGGATCTCTCACTCGCCCTCACAGAGGAGAACACTGAGGTCTATAGAATATTTCTGATAAGCTGAGACTCAGGTCACAGTTTGCCTCCCAGCAGTATGAAATTACTAAAAGTACTTAACAGTAGAAACTTGTGGTGATAACAATAGCTGTTTATTGCCTGCCACCTGCATGCCAGGCACTGTGCCAGCTACTTATATGTGTCCTGTCACTGAATGATCTTAACTTCCTACAGTTGAACTGCAACCACATGGGAAAACTAAGAGGCTTCTTCATCCTGGGACTACATGACTCTGACTGCTGGAGTTGATATCCAAGTTAGGATTCTATGATGTCAACACCTTGTACCTGCCCACAGCAATGTGAGTTACTATGAGCAGAGGGGGCCATAGAATCTGGCTGATGATGTTCCCTAAGATTATATGAGCCTGAGCTCCTTGTTCAAGACACTGTCAGGACTGGAGGAGTGCTGGTGGTTGAGTTTTCTCTGAGCTGAGAGTCTTGAGGTAGAGAAGAGGAGGGTCAGGCTCAAAATGGTTGGATAGGTGGCATATGCATAAAGACAGGGAATTGGGATTGGGGGCGCTAGGCTTACCTGCCTTTGGCTCATTTTGTTACCTTGGGAAAAACACAGAACTCTCTGGGCCTCTGTCACCAGTGTATGGAAAGCCAGGTTGGGGAGATGATGATTCCTGGAGTCCCATCCGTGTCACCTCCCTGTGGCAGTGTATTCTGCTTCCTTTTTTCACATTTCTGTCCTCAGCTCAAGACAAAAAGACCACTCTGCCTCTGTGCTGGGACCCAATCTCAGGTTTTACTCACCCAGATTCCCACAGCAATGATGAAGACAAAGTAGATGCCCACCACCACAATGTCATAGACGTGCAGGCTGACTTCAGAACTCAGTAATGAGTTTGGCGCTGGATCAGCTCTAACTCCACCCTTTGAAGCTCCACGTCCCATTGTTGCTAACTCCTTGCTCATATGTTAATGCTGGTCCCAAGCAGGCTGGACTTTGAGGTTCTCCTGATTTCATTCCTTTCCTTTAATGATTAAACAGCCCCAAGCACTATTAGTCTTGAGAGAGCTTGGAGACCTGCTGGCATGTGAGGTCCTGCCCACTTTTCTAACTGCCATGCCCTTTCTTGCAGGACTTCTTCCCTCTCTCTCTCTACACACCACACACACACACACACACACATACACATACACAGAGAGAGAGAGAGAGAGAGAGAGAGAGAGAGTTTCCCCTATCTTTAGAGAGCATTAGTTGCAGGAGAAAAGAAACAGAGCACTAGAACCCTAGAGCTGGTAGGGATTTTAACAGAGTGCTCAAGAAAGTGTTGTGTGAAAGAGGAACCAAGGCTCAGGAAAGTGATTGTGAGCTGGGAGTGCAGACATCAGATTAATGCAACTTGCTTCATCCAATGGGAAGGAAAGGAAGTGAGAGGAAGAGTTCATCAGTCTCCTTGTAAAGAGGCTATTGCCTTTTACAAGGTGCCAGATATACCCTTACCTCCATCACACTGAGTTTCATATTCCCTATTTTACAGTGGAGGAAATGGAGACACAGGAAGAGACAAAGGTTTATTCCAAAGAACAGGGGTATCTGTGACAAGGCAGGGCCAAATTCACATATTCTGATGCTCTCATGCTTGCTGTCCTGTGCTGTGATAGATAACATGTGAGGTCAGGTGGTGTTCTCAGATAAAGGTACAGAGTTCTCTGAGGGAGAGCCATCTTCCAGGACTCACCCAGTTCGGTTTCTGGTCTCAGTTGTGTAACGCTTTTGATGATCTTGGGCAAAATGTTGTCTCTAAGTTGAGAGGTCCTGTTTTTTGCCTGCCTCACTGCTCCAAGGAGATCAGAATGTGTTCCTGAGGGTCTCTGCAAACCCTGGACTGCTAAGCACCCAGTGTTAGCAGAAAAACAAGTGTCAGCTACCATCTTGCCAGTAGGTCCAGATGCTAGGCACAAGGCACGCCTGTTCACATGGGTCCTCATAATAGCTAAAGTTGAATCTTACAGTATGAGCTCAGAATCTGTTCAATCTGAGCACTGCTGTACATTCACAGGCCAGTCCCAGACTCAGGTGGATAAAGGGGCCCCATTGACCCATCTGCACCCTCAGTATCCTGTGAGAAGTATAGGGCTCAATGTGGAGGGCAGAACCTCTTCTCTTTTCTTTATGGGGTAAAGAAAGTAAAAGGTAGGGTTGTGGGTTTATTCTGCCTTGGGGCTTAGCCAAAAACATCAGGTATAAGCCATGCTGAACTACAAGGAGCTGGATTTGGATCTGCTAGGATCTCCCATTGGAATAGGCCTCAGCAGAATGTAGCCCCCATTAGAGTCAGAAATAAGAAGGGCAGAGGCAGTTTTGCAGCAAAAAATGTCCTTTATATGTATTTAAATATAAGTGTTTGTCAAATAAATGAGCTAGGCAAGCAACAAGGCCACTTTTGGAAACCTCAGAAAAATGTGAAGGACAAGTGTCTTAGATGGTCCTTCTGACAGTCCCTGGTATGAACTTCTTGGAGGGACAGTGAGAGATGAGGCTGACAGACATGTGGGTGTTGGTCAGGGAAGGAAAGAGGCCAAGCGTGACCTTCGGCCTACGCATCCTTCCTTCAGAGAAGGTGAGGGGTATAGCGGGGTGAAGACAACTGAGCCCTAAACTTTTTCCCCCTCACCCAACCCCCATACACCAGGAAAGGCCACTTAGGCCCTAAGGGCTCTAGTGCTTACACACCCTGCCCCATGCCCCCAATTACCTTCTCACAAGTGCCTAAGGCTAAGCCCAAACTTTGTACAGCTGGCCTAATCCTAAAAACCAGCAGGTTTGGGAACACAATAAATAGTCCGACTTGAGATGGGTTAGAGCTCAGCTGACAGAATCTGGCAGCCAATACTGAATTCTGTCAGCTGAGGAAGAACGGAAGTGTCTTGGGGTCTACAGAGGAGGTCTCAGACTGAAGGATCCTGAATACTCCTCAGGAGTATGTATCTCCAGGAGTGAATTGCCCTTCTGCCTATTCTAGGCTCATGAGCTAAGCCTTCTTAGGAGAGCCCTATTCATCAGAGCTTTCCTGCTCTGAGAGCATCTCTTTTTCTTCCTTACACTTCAGCTCTCAGGGTCAGAAGCTGTACTTCCCAAGAAGGGAGGGAGAAATAACCAGCTGAGAATGTTGCTTTTCCCCAAGGCAGACAGACCCAGAAGCCAGCTGTAGAGGAGAGCAGGATGCACAAGGAAGAGAAATGTGGTCATTGAATCGAGGAAGGGGTCTTCAATAGTTGTTGGTACTTGGCATTACAATTTCTGAGTAATATCTGAGTTGAGACTTTCTCTTTGGCCTTAATGTGGCAGGAGAATGCCCATTGCTTCATTGTAACTAGAAAACATAAAACTGATTGAATATTAATCTATGGATATACCAAGAAGTATGCTACACTGATCAAGTAGCTTAAGAAAGTTGCTTTAAGGATCACCTCACTGAACCCACCATATGTGACTTACAGTGCATGGAAGATCAAGACCCTATGTCTGGCATCTCAGCCTAGACAGGTATCTCTTAGGCTCTGGCTAAGTCCTTACTGAAAGTTTTGGAAACTAAAGTTCTGCTTGGAATCCTGAGGCTAATGGATCCCCTACCCTCACAGCCTCATCATCCAGGGTCACTGCTCAACACACCAGTCCCTTTGGATAGCTCACGTCTTCCATAGTCCTACCTTCTCCTGCTGCATCTGCTCGGCTCTCTCCCCTTTAACCATTCTGAAGGGCCTATTTGAACAGGTGCTTCTAGAGTCTCAAGCTCTCCTCTACCAGCTGGCTGCCACATGGAACTTCCTGTGGGCACTTTCTGGAGGCTCTTCTGGAGGAGAACCTCCACCCCTCAGAGTTTGGGTCAGAACCCTCCCCATGCTTTCTTGCTGCTAGGGTTTATGATGGAGGGACTCCTGGAAGTGGCATGCTCACTCCCATTTCCAGGGCTTTGTATGTGCTGTGTCCTCTGTTATCACCCTTCCTTTGAAGCCTTCTCTGGTTCTCAGCCTGGAACATCTAGAGCCCCAGGGTACTCCTGCTTATTTCTCCAAATGCTGCTGCTGATTTGAGAACTGTCTGCCTTAGACATGAGTTGCTGGAGGTTCTTAATGTTCATGACCAAGTTACTGGAGCAAAGTCAGTGAGGGGAGTAGTGAGGCTAGCCTTCTAGAAACTCCCTCTTGGGGTCAATGTGGGATATGGGCAAGAATGAGGCAGCTGGTCCAATAGTGCAGGCAGAAGGAGGCATCAGATGAGGTGGAGAGAAGTCCTGGCTACTCTCACAGAGAGGGATGTGTGCTGACCTGCATGATTTCTCCCTGACCACCTGGAAGTCCTTCTCCTCTCTCAGCTCTTGGTGCCTGCAAATGCTCATTCCTTGAATAGACACGAGTGTGGAGAGCCTCAGTTTTGATTCAGTTCAAATGATATTGTCCCCAGAACAGGTTAGGTGGGAACTTTTGGTCAAGTGAAGGATAAGCTGGTGAGGTGAACTTAAGCTCATGGTGTTGGATGCTGACCATATACAGTGGTCCTTAGTCCTATCCTTTCCCACTTGACACAGAATCAGTTCTTTTATGAAAGTGAACCCCCTTTCTGTTTTTTTTTCCAATGCATATTTCGAATTGAATTTGTGGATTTAATACAGTATATCTTAATCATATTTAGACTCCCTCCACTAGCTGCGCCCCCCCAACCCCCATAGTCCACCAACAGAATTTCATGTATTCTGTTCTGACATATATGTTAAGGCCTGTCGAGTCAAGTTTTGCACCCAGATGTCTCTCAGTGTGAGTTCATCCCTATTCCCTTTTGTAGAGATGGCTACAGGCTCCTGTGTCTCCTTCTAGCAACTCTTATCTCAAGAATAATTCTGGACATGCTCTGAGTGCCTCCTACTGGCCTCCACCCAGGGTATTTGTAAGTTCATCCTGTAAAACTGCTCTTAGCCAAGATTCCTGGGGACAACTTCCTCATATGGAACAATGAGGGGCAAGGAGTCGAATGTGCCAGAAGCTCTGGTTGCTCACATCACAGGCAGAATTTCAACTGGTATATGAGAATCTCACTTGATTTTATTATTCCCATTGTCAGATGAGAAAAATTCATTGGTTAGCTTCTGTGGCTTGTTTAAGTTGTGAATTTCGACTTGGATGACTCTTCAAGCTGCTCAGCACCACTGTGCCTTCCTTCCTTGCCCTATATCTCTAGCGATAAAAGACAGAAGAGGTACACTTCCTTGTGGTTGGTTAGAAATCAGCCATGTTGCTCCTTCCTGTGGGAGTTCTGATCTGGGTACAAAGGTAGCAGTGCTGGGAGAAGAGATACCCTGAGTCTGGGACTCAGTTCCAGAGACTTTGCTGGTCCCTCTCCTGCCACCCTCATTTTCACTCCCTTCTCCCTGCCTTGCTACGACTCTCAGACCTCAAGGCCTGGGGGATGCTCGTTTCACATTCTGTGTTCAGCTCAGTTCACATCCAGAATTTCGTGTAACTCTCCTCATCTACTCACTGGGCACACCTGGGTCAGGCCCAGGTCAGGCCATGCCATGTACAGCTCCTAGGACATTTCAGTAGCCCTGAGAGTACAACTCCAGCAGCACCCCATCACTGTAGATGGCCTCCACACGGATGGAGAGAGAAGCAAGTCTGAATCCTTGAGGGGAAAACAAATGATCTGTGATGGTCAGGGTGGCACCTGCTGTCCTCTTTGAGGTGCCCTCTCTCCAGCTACCAAAGGTGAAACGGCTGGAGGCCTCTCATGTGACCTGAAGAAGAAGGAAGACCACATGTGCACACACTGGATGCTTATTCTAAGAGAAAAGGATGATCAAGCAGAAGGGTAAGAATGGTAAAGATGGCAGCAGAGCACCAGGAATGGAGAAAAGAGGAGGAAGAGAAAGAAACTTACATGCTCCAGTCACTGAAAACATACCCCTGCACAA